ACTCTGTAGCATGTTTTACTTTTATGTTCACTTTTAACAAAATATGCCGTATGGTATCCTAAAGCAATACATTTATAGCGTATGCTACCATTTTTGTATTGAAAAGCATTGTGGATTATTTCTTTTAGACGATTTTTCAATTTCACATAGGGAATGGTGGCCATATAGGGTTGAAAAATCAAAAGTTTTGATAGAACTAATTTCAGAGAAAGATCGAGATTTAAAATTATCCAGAAGTTCTTTAGAGTTTTTAGACTATTGTTAATATATTCTGATTAATATAATTATTAGTAATGATTCAAAATATTTGCAACCTATATTCATATTCGTTTCTACATGTGTGATGATTATGTTCATTGTCTTTTGTTACACGTGCATATGTGTCTAGGTGCTTCTCAATGAAGTTTTATGATATGGTATGCTATAGATGTGACCATGTCACTGTTAAAGATTAGCCTGTTTTGTTTTGAAACAGAACAAACTGATATGGTCAATATCCAAACTTAATGCAGACAAGACAAAATCTTATAATTATGCTCTAAATTGTATTAAAAAAGGTGTGTTTGATACCTAATGATTCCACAAGGACATGTAAATTTATATTTTTTAGCTCATGATAATAGCACATGATGATAAACGGACTTATGTATTTTAAGAAATCATGAAACATAGCTACATTCATTGACAAACACATACACTGTTTCAACTGTGAACTTTGAGTCTTACAAGATTCGTAGTGTACATCTATATTACTATAAAAAAAAAAAAAGGAAAACAACACGTTATGTATTTCATGCGTTGAGGAACGCTCAAAATCTTTAACGTTCCGGAATGAAAAGTATATTCTTGTTTGTTTCAAGGAAGAAGTATATATAGACAAATTGAAAATGTTTATTTCTAAAATATCTTATATATAACATGAGACAAAATTTAAGTTTCAGTAGGATATCAAATGTGATGATTATATGTTCTTTTCATAATTATTTTTTCGTGTTTTTTTTTTCTTTTTTCAAAACAGTAAATTTACCAAAATAAATTAAAATGCCATCGTTTGTCCTCACTTTGTTATGTTTCTATTTCAAAATAACTTTCTTCCTGATTTTTGTTACAAATTTTCTCATAGAGTGCACAAATATAAATGAAAATTCACCCACACTTAAAACTGAAATTAAAATAAACCATAAGTTATTTTTAAATTGACGGTTTTCCTGTTTTCATTTGTTTTTATTCATATGGGGAGAATGTGAGAACCCTGGTTTTATTTTGTGATTGTTTTATTTTGTCTCATGTTATATGTCGAAATTTAAAGCAGTCAAAGAATTAATATCTAAATAAAACACACTTAAGGAAATGATTTAAGTTGGATATTCCGCATCAATTCATCAGCGCAGATGAATATTTCGTCAGACAAATAATATGTGCATTACAGTGCACAACGTCAGCAATATCATAATATACTTATTATTACAAGTTTCATAAGCTTTTGATGAAATACATGATGAACGTTAAAGAATGACCGTTAAACGTTGTGTTTTGGGTCTTGATTGTTGCTCATCATCTTGTTGCATAATCGTATATTTATAACAGACTAAAATTTAGTAAAATGGTATCATATACACAGTTTGGGGGTATTTCTTATTTCAAATGTGACCAACAAGTCACAAGCTGAATTATTCATTGAAAGCACAATGTCCATCTCTATCTTATTTAAATATTATAATTGATTATGAACGCAAAGCTATTTCAAGGATCATTTTATCATATTTTCACTTTTTCAAACGTCCCTATACACATTCTTCATCATACGAGTAGTCAATTTGAGATATAAGGAACAGAAATTTAAAATAAGTGCTTTTTATCTGTAGTTTGGAAAAAAAAGAATGCGTTATCCTGCGTAGTTCAAATCAATTTTTACAGTAGAACTTCGATATATTGAGCTAAAAATTCACACAAGAACGTCATGCATGGTACTAACAAACATTGGAAAATACCCAGTAATATATAATTAGTTGAGCCAATTTTTGATGACGTCAGTATATTTTGTGGCCACCGTGTGTTGTTAGCACTTTTCTGCATATCCATAATCGAATTGGACCTGTGGTATCCTTTGTCAATAATGTTGCAACACTTGAATGAGTTAATCCGATGATTGAGGTGGTGTTCGTGTTGGCGGTCAATCATAACAAGTTCGTCCCATAGATGTTCTATTGTGTTCAAATCAACCAACTTTGAGAGTCATGGCAATACATGATAAATGTTGTTCTGAGTTAGTACTTGCATTGCTATTATTACTTCATGGGACCGTGTGTTGTCATACAAGTAAAAATCACTTATCCCTCTGTCGATCAGTAACATTCACCATACGTGACTGCTAAATATTGTTGAGGTATCAATTTTCCTTGAACACGCACTAGGTTTATTTTGTTCTGCGGTTTCAAGATTTTACTGTTAACATTAGTGCACTCAGGGTCTCTCATCGCCAAATCGGTTAAACGTCCTGTATGCAGGAAAGGGACAAACCGCTAATTTTGACGCATGTATACGCGTGTTTTTTCATCACAGCTTTCCATCGCTGAAACAAATTTAAAGCCAGTTCCTCAACTTCCATGCCCACTATGTATGCCACCAACAAACACGTGCACGTCTGTGAGCTTGTGTCAAAACTGGTCCAATGAAAGGTCTTCTTTGCCGAATTCTGCGTTAGCGAATCCTGTTTTGGACTGTCTACGCGAAAATTTCAGGTAAACAGCATTTGTTGTAGCAGTGACTGTTACGAAGTTGGAAGAACCGGATAAACCGATTGCTGGTGCGAGTAGTGATACGTGGCCTTCCACTTCTAGAGGGATCTTAAACTCTTCAAGTTTGATATAATATATGATATATGTGTGAAATTGGTTAACTTTGAATTGTCAGGCGACCTCAGTTTATCATGCAACATATGACAGTTTTGTGATTACATTTGTGCCTACTATCGACGATATTTTTAATGATATATTACATCTGTGTTCTTCGACTTTGAGATAAGGGCATTTTTCATTTGCTTTGGATTGTCAACTGCATGTAGGAATTTTGTGTCATGAATCATGTATACACGATATCCCTTCTTTTCATAACACAAATGAAATCAGACTGAAAACATTTTTGTTATTCATCTCTTGTTTATAAGCATAAAATATTATTATAAAATATAATTAAAAAAGAGAGGCGAAAGATACCAAAGGGACATTCAAACTCATAAGTCGAAAATAAACTGACAACGCCATGGCTAAAAAAGAAAAAGACAAACAAACAACAGTACACAAACACAACATAGAAAACTAAAGACTGAGCAAAACGAACCCCACCGAAAACTGGGTGATCTCAGGTGCTCATGAAGGGTGAGCAGATCCTGCTTCACATGTTGCACCCATCGTGTTACTCATGTAAGTACAAACCCAGTGATAAGTATAATCCGGTTGATCACATTCGGGGAAAAGCGGACGGGATTGCAGTTACGACAATTGGAACTAATCCGTCGTCATCTGTGAAACAGATATTCCATAACGTTCAACCAACTCGTGATGGGGTCCGTAAAATTTATGAAGGGATGATTTCAACTTCACCACTTGGAACTCTTAGTTTAATAGCTTCCATGTGAGAAGCAACCATCTATCAAGGAAATCATGATAGGAAATACAAGCCCTGGAATATCGTATTAACAGGGAGATATGTACTCCGTATACAGGCGCTGCTGGAATGTTGCTATATAGAAATGTAAAGTCCACAATTGGAAAGCTGAAATCATCTCTTTAAAGCTTTTTCTTTGTGAGTATTTTCATGCAGATTGAATCAGATGTTCCTAAAAATGCGTTCTTAAAACTTTTTCTATGGAGTACATACTCTTCTCCTCTTCAGTCTTGCTAGTATAAAACGCAATATCCAATGTCAATCTTTAAGAAGAGAGAAGCTGCAGACAACGGAAGTTATGGTTAATAGAGAGAAAATGAAAATAGAAAAAAAATAGCAGCACAAAAGATCTACAAATAAGTCAACATTACCGAACTCATCCGTCGATAAAGAATGACAATTTTACCCATTTGTTCAAGGAACATTTTTACATAGATAAGAATTATAGATAGCACAAAATATTTAGTCAATTAAGATCTACAAATATATCCCCATGGACAAAATCTTCAGTCGACTTCTTATAGATGGTACCGCCGTTGAATGACGATGTTTGACATATTTCTTAAGGTGTTTTGTTTTCGGAAGCTACAATGGTTCAAAGGAAGCTGTCCATAGAAAATTTGATTACTGTATATACAAAAGATCTACAAATAAGTCAACATGACGGAAATCGTCATTTGACTCCTGGTAGCCTTGAATGACAATCCTTATCTATTAACCGTTAGCAGATAAAGAAAAACTGTGAAATTTCAAAGAAAAATTATCAGATTTACAAAAAGGCAAAATGGGCAAAATAACAGATAGAATGAATGCATGAATAGCAATACAAGATATACAAATAATTCAATGTTAGTAAAACATTCAATCGACTCCTTACAGAGGCTGTTGCCCTGTAAATCACAGTTTTATCTCTTTTTGTTATGTTAATTATCTTGAAAACTATCAACATTAGACAGAAACTCGGTCCTTCAAAAAGGATAAGCAAGACAAGATTTTGGCTCCCGCAGCTTCCATTTAGCACAAATATTGCATTGTATAAATGTTATGCAAAAGTTCCAGGTAAGCGATACAGGTATCGTGTAGCCTCCAGTTTATATAGGACGTGTGTGATTATTTCTGTTTTACTTTAAAAAAAATATTTGACACCCATCAATTTAACAGACAAAATCAAGACGCACACAATAAATCAAAAGTGTTGTTTGAAGGAATTTGCGTGTGAACTAGATTGGAAATTGAAACGCAGAATATGTCGGTAAGCGGGATGTCTTTCGTTTTGTTATGGTTTTTAAATATTTTCCCCTCTTATTGTTGATTTTCTAATCCATTTCAAAATCACAGCAATTAGCTATTGGCTAGACGTCATGTTTAAAATATAATTGTGACGTATGATCATTGTATTTAAATCGAGCTGTAAGCTTCATTTTCAATTCAGTCACACATACGATGGCAACTCTAGGTGAGCATAATTTCTATTTTTTTATTTATTAAATCGTGATTCTTACATGATAACAAATGCATTATTGCCTTCATATTTCTGGCATCTCATCCAGCTGTTTTCTCTTTTGAAAGTACTTGTTCAAAGATACTCTTTACGGATATCAGAAATATTATAAAAAAAACCAACACTTTATAAAGCTCAAAGCTGAGTATTTGAAAGCCAAGGGTGTATAAGAACCGAAACATTTGAAGAGTTATATGACCAAAATCTATCTAAGGTCAACTTTGCCTGAAGGAGTTGAAACCTTACTTTCTTTATAATTTCTAAATTTAAAAACGGACAAATTAAAAAAAGTTTGTTATAAGTCATGTCAGTACCGAAGTTTTGAATATTGAGCTGATGATACACTCGGGGACTGAGAGTACATCACCAGCGATATCGACCCAGTGCGGTTAAAAAAACGACGTTTTATAAATATCATGCGTCCTAAGCGAGCGCTTTTCTTGATGTACCTATATCATTCGATTGATATCAATAGTTTATTTTTCATTGACTAATACATGCGTTTTGCTCATTGATTTTAAATTTTACAGGAAAGAGATATTCTTCCGATGATGACCTTGCAAACGAGCTACGCATAGTTCTAATAGGAAAAACAGGATCTGGGAAAAGTGATACTGGGAATACTATTCTCGGTAAAACAATTTTTGATGCAAAATATAGTGGTTCTTCGGTTACAAGAAAATGTCAGATTGAAGAAGTTTTTCGCGGAAACAAGAAGATTGTTGTCGTTGACACCCCAGGAGTCTTTGATACAGAAATGTCATTAGAAGAAACGAAAAAAGAAATCACCAAATGTATCGGGCTGACGTCGCCTGGGCCACATTGTTTTCTTGTAATCATTCAAGTTGGGAGATTTTCCCCCGAGGAGAGACAAACACTGGAAACTTACTTGAAAATGTTTGGCGAGGGAGTTTATAAGTATTTGATAGTTCTATTTACAAAGGTTGATACGCTGCCTGGTGATCGTAAACTGTCTCAAAAGTTTGAAAGTTTTCTAGAGAATATTCCCTCTGATTTACAAAGGTTTTTAAACCTTTGTGATAATAGATGCCTCCCATTTAATAATGCAGCGAATGGAAAAAAAAGAAAGAAATACTTTCACCAACTGTTTAAGCTAATTCAAGAAACTGTTGGTGAAAATGAAGGGGATTTCTACACCAATGACATGTACAGAGAGACGGAGAAGATAATTCAAATGGCAATAGAAAAAGAAAAAATGGAAAGCAATTATGTAAATGTTGACTTCAGTACAGCAGCCGATAAAACGACAAAAGAAAGGAAGAAAAAAGAAGGACATGGAATTCAAAACAAAGATAAAAAAGTTAGAGTTCTGAAGCAGCATCTTGGGAATGGAATTATGGAGAAAGGGGAAAATTTGTTAAACGGTGAAATTGAAATAGACACTGAACTTGTTGGAGCTATTGAAAATTTAGATGTCGGGGACGTCATAGGAGTAGCAGGAAAGTTTTTAAGTAAAAGTAAAAAAGATGATGCACGAACGAATTTAGGAAAAACAGATACTGCACTACTGCGCAAAACAGTACGGAGGAAAATTGAAGCAGAAGACCCAACCGTATCCCACCGGCTTAAAGAGGGTGTCATTTCCTTTGTGTCAACAATTGCAGACGGCATCGCGAAGGAGTTTCCAAATTACATAAAAAGCCTCTTTGAAAAAATTTAATTTAATTCAGGCAGAAAAAATTTTTTGACTTATATATCTGTAAAAATATTTTGATCTTTTTTTTAGATTTTAATTGCAAAAAAAATAATAAATCATTAATGGATTTCTGTGTATTATTTGATGTTACCCATACATATAAATGAAACTATCCTAAATATATAGCATAAAGTCATCGTTTTAGGTTTTAGTTTGAGTGGCAGATCGCTAAAAGTCTGTTATATTAATTCTTATCTCACCTGATCTCGGAGTGATTTTGAGCTTGGCTAATTTCATAAACACTTGGCTATTGATACGATAGAATGTTTGACCTTTTGGTGTTCTTTTGGTAAATTTTGTCTTTTGTATGTTTCTTGAGGTATTGATGAAGTATAACATATTCATTTTCGTGCTTAAAGTCACAATGACTTCCACAACGTGTATGCCTTCAGACAACAGATTTTACATGCATATTCCTGCCGACTTGTTCCTTTATTCATACGAGGCTAACTTCATACAGGACCTTCTTAGGAAGAAAGAAAAGAAGTTAGCAGTATCCTTTAACTTTACTTTCCGCTATATAGATGGTGTTCTCTCACTAACTAATTCTAAATTTAGAGACTATGTTGAACGCATCTATCCCAACGAACTTGAGATAAAGGATACAACATATACAGTTAAGTCTGTCTTATATCTTGACTTACATCTACAATGAGGGTCGGTTGAAAACAAAACTTTACGACAAAAGAGATGATGTCAGCTTCCAAATTATGAAATTTCCATTTCTATTTAGTAACATTCCAGCTGCGCCTGCATACGGAGTTCATATCTCCCAGTTGATACGATATTCCAGGGTTTGTATTTCCTATCATGATTTCCTTGATAGAGGGTTGCTGCTCACAAGGAAGCTATTAAACCAAGTATTCCAAGTGGTAAAGTTGAAATCATCTCTTTGTGCATTTTACGGACGCCATCACGAGTTGGTTGGCCGTTATGGAATATCCGTTTCACAGATGATCGCGAATATATTCCAATTTTCGTAACTGCAATCCCGTCCCCTTTTCCCGAATGTGACCTACAGAATTATACTTATTACCGGGTTTGTACTAACATGAGCAACATGACGGGTTTCAAATTTGGAGCAGGATCTGCTTACCTGTCCGGAGCACCTGAGATCACCCCCAGTTTTTGGGGTTCGTGTTGCTTAGTCTATAGTTTTCTATGTTGTGTTTAGTGTACTGTTGTTTGTATGTTTGTCTGTTTCTTTTTTAGCCATGACGTTGTTAGTTTATTTTCGACTTATGAGTTTGAATGTCACGTTGATATCTTTCGCCTCTCTTTTATTATCAAATGAAAATAACACTATATAAATGTTCTTCATTTACCATCATCATGAGCGCACAACATAAAAAATGAAAGCTAAGGATGTGTAAATATTTAATGACTATATGACCAAAAGATATCTACAGAGACTAAGCTTAATCCAATAAAGACCGAGATAAAATTTGCATCAGGTGATGTTGGTATCAAGATAGACATTTTTCTTGTCGGTTTGCAAATGAATTAGATCAATTTAGCCTTAAACGAAACAAAAAAAGTAAGATATTTTCTTTTGTTTGTACATGCTTCATTAACTACAATGTACATTACTTAAAATAAATGCACGAAATGTATCAATTTGTATATTATGAGTCTAACTCTGTAGAAAGTTGAATTACTGTTCGAAAAAGATTGATGACAATAACGAAATATGTTAAAACATTAATCAAAATGAAAATCCTGAAAACGCTATTTTAACGAGACACTTCAAAAGCAACAACACAGGTTTATAGACAAACAGAGAAAGCTATTACGAGCAGCAGGTTCCTTTAATTTGGTAAACAGACCCCCTTCAATACCTGGAGATATATTGGGTTATGAGAACGGTAAGCCAATCCTACAATTCTACCCCCAGCATTTATGGTCTTCTACTCTTAGTCATATGTTGATGTGACAGTGCAGATTCCCAAGAAATTTACTGTTATATAAATGAGTTCTTTAATGAAAAATGTACTGTGACAGATTATATAAACATCCTATCGACTTTCTCAACATTGAGTTTTAGTCAGTAATTGGGTCTTGTCTTATGCAAAGAAATGAATTGTCTGAAAATGTCAATTTATCATTTATCGTCATTAAAACTTCAAAATAAAAATTTTAATTGAATTTGCATCCACATTCTCAATTTTATAGTAAGAAAAATTGGTACGTTCATGTAGCTACGTATACTCTGAAAAGTATACCCTATAAAAACAAACCATACTTGATTTCTTTCCTTATTACTTCCTACTTGCCGATTTTTAGGTAGTGTGGTTACGGAATGAGAGGTTCTTCAACAATTTTTTGTATTGTCTCCTTATAGAATTTACTGAAAATACAAAATTAATAAACAAAATTAACTATATTTGCTGTATTTTGCAAGACAAAATTATGATAATCGAGACAATTCAATGAACCTAGTAAAAAAAAAAAACATTTGTTTTCTTTTTTCTATTTTTGAATGTCAAGCACCAAAAATGGGGAACTGACCAAAGTAGGACATGGTTTTCCAATATTATTCAAATTGCAAAATGAAGATATAACTGATGCAATCTAATATCTGAAGTACAGGAAGTTCTTTGTTTGATAAAATTTTCTGTGTAAAACCTTTCTGATAACAGCTTGCGTTATTTTTGCAATTGGACAATTACAATTGAAATATTTTTGGATATTTTCAAATACATGGACCGTGAAATCCAAGGACAACAATTGAATGATGTCGACACAATATCTTCGATCAATAATACGGTTATTTACAAACTTTATATTCATAAATTCTCTGTTTTGACACATTTAAATATCTTTTTATCTACTAACTCAGCCTACTGTATTTTGCATGTTTCTTTATATCAACATATCTTACTATGATTTCTTTTTTTCTAAAAAAAAAAATAATTATTGATTCTCATCTAAAATAAAACGCGCAACTTTGTGTATTATAAAAAGGTAAATAAGGTCTGCATGGACACATATTTGGTTTTATAAGACCAACGACTCATCTAAAAAATGTTCTAACTATATCCTACATATACATATTGATCGCGAATTATTTGTCTCCTGACAAAATAGGACAATATTAAAAAATGCATGTGACGAAAATTATCCAGTAGTTCGAACCACAACTTTCATACGAAATTACAAGCAAAGTTGGGACTAAGATGGTCATCCATCACGTGGTACAATAAATACCGTTAAAATACAAATAAAATTGAGAATGGAAATGGGGAATATGTCAAAGAAACAACAACCCGACCAAAGAGCAGACAACAGCTGAAGGCCACCAATGGGTCTTCAACGCAGCGAGAAAATCCCGCACCTGGAGGTAGTCCTCAGCTGGCCCCTAAATAAAATTGTGTACTAGTTCAGTGAAAACGGACGTCACGCTAAACTCCAAAACATATAAATGAACTAGAATTAAAAAAACATACAAGACTAACAAAGGCCAGAGGCTCCTGACTTGGGACAGGCGCAAAAATGCGGCAGGGTTAAACATGTTTTGTGAGATCTCAACCTTCCACCTATACCTCTAGCAAAGACAATTCCTCTCAACGGGAGAAATCCGTTTGCGCTAAAAATGCGTCCTTTTGCGCCATGACTTTTTTTATTTCCAATGCTACGTTTGCGCCACCTGTTTTAAAATTACATAGTATCATTTGCGCCTAAAATAAAATATACGATTGCGCCAATTAAAAGAAAAAATGACTTCCCTCCTCTTCTATCCGGGCTTGGGACCGACAGTTTACACTAGCGGAGTCATTTTAAGTCATTTAATAGAATACTTTAAAACATAAAACTATGTACAGTCGGACAACATATATATATTATATTAAATGCTGGAATTTGTAACTCATTACACACACAAAGTCTCTGCGGCTGAGTTCTCCTTCTGCATATTTCTCATACGTTTGAACGGCAAATGTTTCCTTTTCTGAAACATGTCTACTTCTTACTGCTGCTGCATGGGTACTTCGCAATTTAATGTGTAAAGTAGCTTGTAGCTTCACTATATTGTCCAAAAACACAAACATTGAAGGATGGGATGCATAAAACAGTTCATTGTAATTCTTGTGGAATGCCTCTGCTCCATTATTGGTACGTCTTGCGGCAGATGTGGTTTCAGCCCATACGGATGGTGGGAACAAAGCACTGTCATCAACATATATGGCTAAAATAATTGTTGGAAATACTTCGGGCAACACTTAAATGTTCCATCAGCAAATACATCCTCTGCCTGCAAACAAAGAAATTTCAAGTTAGCTTCAAAACCAAGAATAACAATGCCACTTCCAATATCATTTACTAAAACAAATTCTTCTTCCTTATTTGTGATGACTCCAACTTCACTTAAAATTTCTTGAAATTCTACTGAACTTTTTGGTTGGAAAGGGTACAGTTTTCTTCTGTCTCTGTACTTGGACTGTCTAATGCATTTTAAGTCATTTCTCTGAAAAACAGTAATTGGCGCAAAAGGACTCCTGCCTTCACAACAGCTATTATTATTTTACACTGATATTTTGGAACACACATTGCAAATTGAAATGCATTTTGATAGCGTTCGGTCAAATTTTGGGTGTTAAATTCGATGCCCCGTAAATGATGAGTGCCGAGCTCTCTGCACGTAAAGAAACTCTTGAAACAACTATTGTAAACCAACTTATTTTCGCGGATACTTTGTTACGCGTACCACTGATTGGATCATAAAACAAGTTAATTTTGTATTGTCTATACTCTATTTCAATCCCAAAGAAATGAAGATGAAAAATAACACTTTATGAATTTAATGAACCCAAAGCATTTTTTCTAGATTATCTCTGGAAAGCAAAGGATGTATATATACCTTAGGATAATTATGACAATTCAGGAACCATTTGCATTGTTGCTTTCAGATTTGAATCAGTAGTATCAGTAAAGTTTATTGACAGATTGTCTTACAGTGTATAAAAAGCATTTTGGAATATGACATATCATATCATGATTTCTGGAGGGAAAGCTGAGGATATTGACAGATTATTACTCGTCTACCAACTTTAAGGTTAAATTGTTCATTGTA